TTGGACTTGCAGTTTTCAGACCGGCGTGGGTACACAGAGCACCACCACGGTCCACATCCCATCAGGCTATGTGTTTCATATTCGTGATCAGCTTGGGCTGCTCCGTATCACAACACTTTTCACAACCTTGTTCAAAGAATAATTCAGACAAATGGCCACTCCAACCCACCATCCTTCCCTTGCTAAATGATATATATGGAACGATATTTCAAATGAACTAAACCACAGAGAAATTTGAAAAAATGCATCAGCAAGCATTCTTAAAAACAAAGCATCCATGGCTAACAAAAAAATTATGATTTCGATAAAATCCATCACTGTGAACACATTGGGATCTACTGCTGCTACGATATTTAAGGACCTCATAAAGAAGATGGATGATTATGCATCACTTCAAGCCAGATTAAACATTTTCGAAGATGCACCAAGCACCTGACTTCGTGAGAGTTCGAATGAGTCGTTTCGAACGGTTACCCTGAGTAGATGCCTCAAATACGCCTACGCACAGAAAGACCGATTCATATCAATTAGTTTTCAGCCGACAGGTGCGCGTGGCATAATTTTGAGAAGTGAAGCTCTGGTATGGACAGACGCGAAAGACTCGGAATATCTGATTGAGATGCAGCCCATTGGAGTGATCGAATGAGATGAGCATGACTCTCGAAACGTGATTGGCATGTTTAAGGTTGCATCGGCTCAGAGATCATCACTTACTTAGGCATTAGATAGAGTGCTGAGCAAGCCCAATTGTGTTCGTCGGTAAAATAATCAAAGCACATTTTACCGAGTAGCCCCGAATACTTCGACTTTCCACCGACGTCGACTTTGTTCTAATATCGTTTATCTGTTAATGTACATAAATGTAGAATTGTCGCGGGAGACAAGAAATGTGCAATCTATTCTCCCTAGCTCCACGCAGTCGCATAGTCCGCAAAAGACATTGACAACCATGTGCAAAAAAACATCGCACGGGCAGAAGCTGTGCCATCTTTTGCTAACTCACTGATTTGCAGCAGTTGCCCGTAGTTGAGGAGTACACTTCCTACATTTCCATAGGGGGAGAAGTGTGAGGGGACGGGGGGGGTGCGCGATAAACCTCAAGACAAAATACCCATAAAGGATAATAAAAGGATAAAGCATTTGCCGTTGATCAATCCCTTTTTGGGATGCGGCACGCATTCTACTTCCATTTGTACATTCGCAGTGGCATTTGAATGCGATGTGGCCTATACAATGACTTGCGGGGGCCAGCCGATGTTCAAGTCAGTGTTTTTTATCCTCCCAGACAAGTCTGGTACCAATTAACCGACCCCGGAGGGATGGAAGGTTGGCCGGGCGACTCACGACCCAGGATTTGATCCCCGGACCGCTCGCGTGGTAAGCGCGCCACTTGTCACTACACCACTTCCGCCCTAATCCCTTGGAAAACGAGAGAAATTCGGATTCTTTAGCTGTGGTGCTGAAACACTGAAGTAACTAAAAAGCGGACACCTCCGACTTACGAAGATTTTATGTGGGCGGAAATAACATTGTTATTGGAAATCCTCTGGCCTGGCATCGACTCGATCCTTGATATTTGTCTCCGACGGTGATGATCCTACTGCATCAATCCGGCCCGATCTCTTCCTCCAGCGGGCCAATACGACCTCCCCCTGTGACGTGTCGAGGATTCCTCAACACACGCTTGACCCTGCCAGCACACCCGATGTGGGCCAAGACCCGCCCCTAAGGAGCTGAGCGCGCCTTTAAATGGATGGCGTAATTTGCTTTCGTTTAGGAAAGTATCCGAGACGTGGGAAAAAGTAGACAGAAGTGATCAAAGGATGGCAGCTCAACTGCTAAGGTGTAGCGTGCACTAGCATTCAAATAAGATTTCCATCAATATCTCAGCCGAACTATTATACATGGAACCTAGATTTATATAATAACTGCCAGCAATCGGCCATTTCGACGAGAATTCCTTTCGAACGAAGACTCGTAAATGCAGTCTCGATCCATGAAGTCCTTCCTCGGGGATGATGTCTCATTTTTTCACTCGTTCCCGACCCTCATAGGTCTCCTCCGTACTCCCTTATCCTGGTATGTCGATGTATCGTGTTTATTGTATAAGAACAGTTGATCAGTCGCAAGTATTGTAATTTTAAGATTGGTCTGATGATGGCATTATTGCCGAAAGCTTGCCAATAAAGTGTAAGAGTGGAAGAGTTTCAAGAACATTCAATCTACGATCCAGAAATCAAATAATTCAATTTCCTCTAATAGCATACATTATGCATCGCTTTCGGCTAGCCTTGCAAAATTCCTACTGAGTGAGGAGCCTGTCTTATACTTTAGTGGTGAAATTTTTTACGAGCGTTCTTAGCCACCAAAAGCAGAAATAGTCGGCTCGTGCGAAACCTTCAATTCAGATCGGGCCTCACTGCTAAGGTTTCATTTTGAAATCGTCTATTCGAATTGTTACAGTTGACTAGTTATAGTATTGCTTGTTTTTATTATTTCGTTTTATTTTTCATTTTACTAATATTTTTGATTGTTTTATTACTAGAAGATAACTGTAAACTATGCTGAAATATTACTATTGTTATATTCGTGTTTTATCACGTATCAGCGAATATAAATTCAAGCCATGGCTCTGTCCAGCCATATGTTTATTCTATGAACCTCACAAACTACCAGAAAAGTGCTTCTTTCGAGTTTAAAGGAGCTACTGAAGGTTTCTTTGATTCGAAAAGGCTAATGCTTCCTCATGGGGGCTGCCCAGAGATACATTACTCTTAGATGACTGAAGAAAATAAGAACCACCATTTGTTGTCAGTCGCCATTTCGGATAAGCCGCCATTCTCCCTTACACTTTGAATCGTAGCAGCCGAATCGTTTAGGCCTTTGCATTGAATTGTGAGATCCATCCAATTTTGGTGTTTTTATCCTTCCAGATGAGTCTGGTACCCAGTAAATTACCGGTTGGCTATCAAGGTTAGTTTGCCTAGGTATAGTACACTAGGTAGGTACACTCAACGATTTGACCCCTGACCATGCGCGTGGTAAACGGCGCGATTTGGTAGTACCACCACATCCACCCTAATTTGCAGCTTAATATGCTGAAAATGAATAGTGCTTCTTATTTTTTCTTGAGAGTGGTGTGTCTAGTTGCCATTTCGATTGTTAACGGCGAAAAAAACCCATTAGCTAAAGTAACATTTGGCGTGCTTAACGGCCCGGAAGGAACGGAAAATTCCTTTAAATCTTAATCTGTGTTTTTTTAAATAAGCTTCTTATCATTTTGGCCTCGGCTTAAACGCCAAATATTAATAATAATAATCAAATAGAAACTGTATTCTGCGGGCTGTGCGGGCTGGTTAAAGCGGCGCCTCAACCAGCTGCCACCACGTCTACCTCCTTTCGTCGTAATCAAGTGAAATACACATGACTGTGGTGACTCAACGATCATGTTATATGTTTGGGCAGAACAATCTGACGACGATAAGTACTATTAGATTTCAAGTTTAAGACGTCATAGAATTGTTCAGGGTCATTACGGCAAGGTAGCGAGTCCTACAGGTGCAATATTCTGTCTTTGTTGAGGTCGAGAAAACCGTTGCAGCGAGGCCGAGCACTGGCGGCAGGGCTGTCACGTGACCACTTTCCTCCATGACACTGGCGATTATTTGTAGCGCTTTATTTCTGATTAATCAATCAGATACCCTCCCTTCAAAAAGCGAGAAAGTGTCGGGTGCAGACCATGCACCACAAGTGACGACGGCCTTCACAAAATGTTAATGTTTTCTGAAATGAATTAGCCTGTTGCAGTTGTATTCTATCGATTGTCACTAATTACACTATCATTTACCAGAAATCAGCTATCACTATGAACAACTTCTAACCAGATTTACTTGGAGGCCGTCGTCAGTGGTGTTTGGTCTGCACCCGACACTTTCTCGCTTTTTGAAGGGGAGGTTACAGTTTCCTTTTTGTTCTGCGAGCGGATTTCGGATAGTTCTTCTCTAACTCAGCGTTCAAATGATTAAGGGTAAAAAACAAATTTCAAGGAGGAGAGCTTCATCTGTGATCATTAATTATCCAACGGCAAATTCATGTCGAGACGTGGGAACCCGTCTTATCCCCCTAACACCAAGAATAAGCCATGAACTACTACGGTAGTCCATTAGCGTATGTCGAAGGCGTTGAATTGACGATTAGAAACAGAATTTGAGATCAAGGCGATGAGAATGAACAAGTGACGATTATGATCGGCTACATTTCTCCCATAAGGGATCAACGAAGTTTTTCGACAACAAGCGGTCGCCTTTGACGGTTTGGTCGAAGTTGCACAACACTTACCGTAATCCGGCGCTCTAAACTTTGTGGCGGCATCGAAAGGTGTTAAGCCATCGCTAATCCTTTGTTATATATGTGTCTGATATGTCATATCTTGACACAGGTTTGACGCGCTTTCGACTGACCGCCGAGGGAGTCACAAGTTTCGACCTCAGTCCCAACTTTGGGGCTCACCTGCGTTGCTACGTTTACGGACAGTCGCAATTAACACTTCATTATCACCTTGTTGTCTCCCCACAGGAATGCTCTCGACAAACATCCACCTGCAATTAAAGACCTCAATTTAATTGGTCCCAATTATTTCCTCCCTCGTTGTCTTGGGCTAAATGCTTGCACCTTGCACTCATAAAGGTAGCTTTTAGGGTCAAGTTTACTTGCACAAAATCCTGCATGCTGTTGGTGTATTTTAAGCACGCTCAATAAATAAATAAACAAAAATAAAGCAACTAGGAACGATTTATTATTTCGTAAATAGACTTATGTATAAAATAATTGATATCGACATGATAAAGCTTGAAATCTCAATCAAAGCTCATGGTGACAAAGACAAAAAGCGATCAGAGACGCTGGCAAGAAGCGGCTTCTATCATACAGAATGTACAGAGTGGCGCAAGCGGAGCGCACTGGCTAGACCTCCTCAGAACCGCTGACACTTTCAGTTTTGACTACACGGCGGTGGTCGGTCGTAGAGAGGAGTTATCGAGGGAGGACGTTGATGGCGACGAGATGCTTCTGCCAAGCAGCCCCTCAACGCAGAAATCGGTCCGTGGACCCCGTGCAGGCGGCAGCGCAACTGGTTCGGGTTTTCGAGGATTCAGAATGTCAGCGATCAGTCTGGACATGGATGCCTCGCCGATCGACGGGCGGAATAGCACGGCAACCAGCGAATCACCCGAAATCGACAGCACGTCCAAACACCTGCAAAGAGGAGTTTAATCTCCATCAATTGGTGGAAGGATATCTAGCACGAACTTCAAGAACCGTAGCGGATCGTTGCGATGGACGACTTGGTGATAAGCGGCCAGCTGGAATCCGAGTTGGTAAGCTGACGGCGTATCTGTAAGCGTACAAATTGAGCACTTGTGGTGCCATCTAGCGCCATGCAAAAACCGCCTTGGAAACGAAGCCGCTTCGGCTACGGACGCGACTTTTTTACCCCACACCCGGCCGACTACAGTAACCCCTCGAAGTGATTGTTTGCCGTCGCCCATCTCCCTCTCCCTCCCCCGTGCGGCGTCTGGTTCCCCTCTCACGACGTCGCCGCCCGACGTGGTCACATCTGTTCCAATTCTGTGAATTCAAAATAAGCAAATAGAGATGCGCTACATTTAGAACGCTACGTCGTTACCAAGCCAGTTGGCGATTGTGATTAAACATGTTCGCTCGGGGCCGCACTGCGATTTGGCCCGGGAATTCATCGGCAAATTTGTAGGGTCTATCAGCAGTGGTCCCAGGCTGGACCACGAAGAATGTGATGAATTCTGCTAAACAACGCTGTCTTTCTAATTCCCAGAAAATCATTGTTCTGGCGCTAGTTTGGCTATGAGGGAGGTAAGGTTAGTCTCGGCCTTGTTGTGGAGTAGATATGAAAATACTTCCTAGAGAATCAAGTTGGTCGAAACAAAGCGCAAGTTTCTTGCCGCGACTCCTGCCCCCCCCCCCTCCGGTTTGCTTGGAGTTCCCATCACTTTTCGCGTCAAATTCCGCTCAACGAAATAGTACCCTTACCTTTCATAAGTGCATAAGTCCTAAGCATGGCATGCTCGCGAGCGTCGAGCCTTAGCGACTCCATCTTCTCGAAGCACTCAGCTACCTGAATTGCCAAAATACTGCGAAAACAACACACAGAAGAGCATAAGTGCAAGTCATACCTCGGCTTTTTCTTTGACGAAATCGCTGGGATCGTTGAGCACTTGCTGTGAGGTGATGAACGGACGCTCACCACAACTGAGCACGAACAGTGCCGGCCAAGCAGTGTTGGAAGGTGCTGATCTGAAAGCTGTTGAATCCCCAAAATGTTCACTGCTATCGGAACTTCCAACCCTTCCGATGAAAGACAACTAAGCGCATACCTGTCCCTCAAGGGGTAAACACGCGAATGGTAACTGGTAGCGTGTCCAAGTGATCAACTGAAAGAACACTCGAGCAGCGACTTCAGGTAGCTTCTCCAAACAAGGAGGTGACGCGTCCGAGTCCGAACCGATGTCGGGCTGAAATCGGAAGTGATTATGGTGTGCAGAAGGCAAAGTACGGTAGTAAGTGCTGCTGAATGAACATAGTGATTTTATTGAGATCTAAATAGAGTAGAAAAAACAATTTGTAAGGATTGACATTTGACTGCTGACTCAATTCCCTCAAAGCAAATCGCTTAGCCAGTGTCAGCAGATTTCTGCAAGAAGGAAATCGACTGAAGCGCAATCTTCAGCGGGTCCTTGCCGCTCTCTTGAGGGACGACGAGAACAAAGTGAAGAAGCCACATCGACAAAGGTCGAAGTGCATTCGTCGAGACGACATTTGTTCGCGACTGCTCTTCGGCTGCGCGAAGTGGCTCCCAAGCACTTCCAAGCCACCTCGTTCTGCCTCGACTCGCCAATGTCCCTGCCAAGACGAAATTTCATCGCGAAAATCTCTCTATCAGCCGTCAAACAACAATGACGTTTAATCGGTAGCTCCCGATCGGCACCATACCGTAGTCCGCTGGCTTGTTGTTTTTTTTCCTGGACAACAGATGCCGACCGGGAATCTGCAAGCACCTGCTGGCATGGGTCCCAGTTGGGTTAGAGATGAGGAACAAGCAGGATATCACTCGGGGTGGGAAAAATTGGGATCAGGATAACACTCGGGGTGGGGAAAATTAGCAAGGTTTAGAAGTAAACAAAGAGGGTTTCACGATTTTTGACCCTATTTATCCACCGTCGAGTCTAATTAGAAACTCTTGAGAAATGAATTCATCATTACGGAACTTCGTGAAGGAAGATAGCTTACTCAATGCTGCAATAACTAAGCAATAACATAAAACAGCCTTGGTAGAAAGTGATACGGTAAGCGGAAATCCAGAACAAAGCTCCCCTTCCCCATTGGCAATTGGCCAAGTGGGAGAAAAGTCTCATAGAAAGCATACGGATCACTGAAAACCAAAACAATGGATGAATGAGTGTGGATGTCGAGCAGATAGATGACGACAAGAAAACAAAAGATTTCCAAGATGACCGTGCCGCCCAAGAATGACTCATTGTGGGAAATATTTCGGCTTTTCCTTGACCTATACAGCGAAGATGAGCAGAGGGAAGTTTCAGCAAATAAATCTGAAGTCTTACGGTAGAAAACTCTAAATAGCTCACCGAAAGTGCAAGTCGTGGATGCTCCAAGAGCAGATTCTGCCGTCTTAAACTCGAATTCCTCGGTCCCCGTTCGTGCTGAACGGCCTCCTTATTCATGCCGATCTCAAGACATTTTCGCAATCGACAAGCCCTAAATGACAGCGTCAGCTTTATTCTCGCAACATGAAGGGGAAAATCTTACCGGCACTGATTTCTGTGAGTTTTGTCCACGATACATCTGCCTTCTTCACAACCACCTTTGTTCTTGCACACGTACTGACGATGCCGCCTGATCGATCGCTGAAAACTCGTAACGGGTAGTTTTCCCGGGGGTAACATCATGATTTGATGGGAAATACCTTGAAAAATCCTGCGCAACCGTCGCACGAGAAAATGCCATAGTGCTTGCCAGACTGTGGTCCTGACAGACTCGACACGGCACATCCGGAAGAATACGACCTGAACAAAGGAGTTTTAGGCAAAATATAGGGTTGCCAAAGACCAATCAATAATGTGCGCAAATTTCGAGAAAATTCCGAAAACCCAGAGGTAACTTCGACTACCGTAATCAGAACACTTACTGCTTGGCAGAGAAGTCATGACGGCGACTAGTATGGATGACTGGCTTTCTGAGGGGCGGACCGATCATTCATGACAAGTCGCCCGCCGTCATTGGCGGGATCCTACGGTGGCGACACGCCCCTCCGAAAGCAGTTTGCGACGGATGACGCGGATGACATGCTCTCTTCACCACTCCACTGTCATTAACTGGTGTTAAATGCCTGCTCACAAGACTATTCGTTATAATGGTTATAATTGAGGGATATAGGTGGACACAGCCCAGGTGTAGACCTCCTTAGTCTAGTGGCAAGTGCATTCCAATTGTGAGCTTCTAGCTTCAATCTTATTCCAATTCTAGCTAAAACATTCCTCTTTGAGGTGAAGTTTGACTTAGGAATCTCTCAGCTGTCACGGCCAATTAGCAGTGAAACGTGGTAACCCAAACGGCTAGTAGCTCCACGGATTTCTGCTGGTGATTCCGCCGCCTGTGGTGTCAAAGAGTTTCAGTATAGCTTCGCGAGGTGTTTAAGTGGTCCGCTAAAATGGCCGAGTTCCGCTGCAGCAGCAGCAGCCTGATGACGATATAGTTCCAGTGGCTTATTATGTCCGACTAAGTGTCGCTGGCAGGAAAGCGGCATATCGGCGACTGTGGATAATCGCCACGATTTACGAATTATTCGCGCCTCACTGACTGCTGTTGGCTGGCTGATGTTGCCAAGTGGACAAATGCCGCCGTTCGCGCATCCACCAACACTCTCTTGATTGACTCCTTCTGTTCACGGCTCCCCAAGGCAATGGTGATTGTTGGCTGAGCTTTGACTGAATCGCGCTCAGGATGTTCGAATCGCAGGATCTCTCCGCTGGGGTATGAACGAGCCCAATTTCATGTGGACAAACCTCTTTGATTCGAACATTTTCATCATTTTGAGCTTCAAGCAGCTCTGAGCCCTGTAGAGTTAGCTTGGTAACCCTCTCCTAGCCTCCTTCTCCGTCATCTTGGCTTATTCAGCAGAAGTGAAACTGCTGGCCTACTATCGTCGCTAAAGGTGGTAAATTTGAGATAAAGCACTTGATTGGGACAAAGATATGGTAGCACGGGATGTTCCACTTGGCAGGTCCAAGTAATGGAAATGAAGAAATTGGTAGGGGTTGCGATCCAGAGGTTAACGCGTTAGTCATCGCAGCTGCATTATTTTCATTCTTTGGTATTAACTCCATCACTAATGGCCGCATTATTGCCATTACCATGTGACTGCGCGTATTTTCTTAACATTTATCCTTTCTTATTGATAACTTCGGCCCATTTTCAGCTGCCACAATCGCACAATATCCGCTGCTGTCCAGGTAATAAGACCGCGAAGAGCATCACCGGGTGTCCACAATCAAGTAAATAAGCCTTTACGGAAGTCTCCCGACAGTCAAGTCCCAGGGAACAGGAACTCCTGGAAATCGGAGTTTTTTCTTTTCAAGCATGGAACGCCAAAAGTGGGACACGCTTTTGAACCGCATTCAAACATTTGCTCAAAAGCGAAAAAGTTTCAAGTAAGAACGCAGGAGAAATAAGGAACTATCGGAAGTAATTGGTATGTGATTCACCAGGGAAATCGTCAGCATCTTTGGAATGAGACTTCACCTAAATCATCCTAAAAGGACATCCGAACTCTCCATTCCTGTAAAAGTTAGGCTAGTTGTAGAGGTTGCAATCCTGAGGCCAACGCGCTAATCACCGCAGCTGCATTACCTTGCTCGTTATATAGTAACACATTAGGCACAATCAGCTGCAGTAGCAGCTATTCTTTCGTAACGCAAGGCTCAACGACTTCGAAGAACATACTTGCATTTTGAATAGTACAGAGGGCGTTATCATATTACCGTATCTGGTAGTGGTCATGATAGTAAAAGAAATGACAATCAAAGGCATAGTTTAAAGTCTCCGCCAGAGTTCTTCTACGGACCCAACTGGTTAACGATGGCAGTATACCGTAGCTACACGGGGCATTGCGATTTTTTTTACATTTGTGGCGTTTCGCGAAAATATGCCACTTTTGGCCATTAAAACCACACATTTAATTCATGTTTAACACTGTGTCAGATTAAAATAGTCCATTCAAAATATTACAATAAAAATGCGGAGATAAAAGAGGTTCGCAGCGCGCACTGTGCTGGGACTTACTGAATAGTCCTTAAATTACCAGAGCCTTCAATTCACCAGCACGTCACTTCCCGGAACACAACTTAGGCTGTATTTGCTTTTTACCCATCTGCAGACGTCATTAGGGGAACGCAGCCAGTGTCAAGTGCCTCTGTGTGATGTGAAGTGCAGTCTTCTTCCATAAATGCCTTGTTGAAAAGTATAGAAACCGCTCAACGTTCTCGGAGGTAGAAACCAACCCTTTTCTTCAGAACGGAAAATGGCAAGACTATCTCCCATGAAGTTCATTCTTTTGGAACACACTAGCCACTGATTAACTGGCAATATTTACCCCTTTACTGCCCACTTCTCAAAAACTGAGCCGGAATTCATCAAAATTTGTCTATGGCTGTGAATTGGCTAAAAAGTTCTGTCCTAGGGTTATCTCATCCTTTAGAATATAACACCAAAGATCGTTAGCATACGCGCTATGGAGTGCCGTCGCGGCAGAAGCGTCAAAAATCCCAGGATTACCATATTCGCTGGAAACTTGTCGTCTGTGGTAGCTTATGTCGTTGAGCATGAATATCACATTAGATGTTGCAAGTGGGCTTCTAGCCTGCGCAACGGGCTCTGGCGCAAAACGAATGAGGTAACGCCGGTGCCTGTGGCGTGGGGCCGGCAGTAGTAATTTTCGTGTCATTGGACAAATTTGGCTTAGGAAATATGGTCCCAGTTTTTGTGGCGCGGGGCCAGTAAGGGAGGAATGCGATCTGAGTCCGTCGTCGGAGTGTGGATTTTTGCTTCACAGGCCAGCATATCTTGAAGAGCTTCGATTTACCTTTGTGCTAGTGAATTACAGTGTAAGTTATTACGAATCGATTACCCAATTCAGCGTTCTAGTCGTGCTGAATCTCGTCTACTTGTGGAAGACACAATGAGAGTGAGGGCCCATGAGGAGAAAAGTGCTTCACGTGACGCGCCCGTGGGCAAAGATCCAGAGTTCAGAAAAAGAAAAATGCTGGCGAAATGAGTTTGGCAGACAGACAGGTAGACAATAAACAGTAGCCATGAATGGCAGCATTACAGTAGGTCCAAACCAGTGATTGCACTTTGACTGACAAAAACAGTATCTGATGGTTTAATTTTTCTTTCTCAGGGGGCATGCCTTGCTTCTGACTAATAGTTATATGGATAATCAGTATTCTTCAACATAAAGGGTATTACAGCGAGAAGTAGCGCTACTGATATGTCTTGCTTCTGACCAGCACGCACAAAGCCTGGGTCAAGTCCTGGATCGGGCGCCAGTACAAGGGGAACCCCAAAAGGGGTTGATCAGTTTCTCATGCTGGTCCATATCAGTACACTTTCAAAACCACCTAGGACAAAAGCTTTTGGAAACTGGGACAATCCAAAATTGCAATACAGGTCTTGCCACCTTGAACTTCAATAAATCAGGTAAATTTTGAATGGTCAAATTTTGTTTACCACGGCCAAATGTGGATTATTTTGAAGGACAGAAATGGTCCGGCCAAGTCGGAAATGCTGCACTTATTCGAGAATCACTTACTTTAAAAATTTCCCCAATTTTATGCAGCAATTAATCAATTAGAAATCAACCCACGGGGCTTGGTTGCTCTTTGGTTAGTTATCTGGATTTGAAGAGTTATCTCCGAAATCTGCTACATTCTGTCCCGAATAACGATCGGAGCATCAAACAAAGAAGTCAGAAACGACGACGTGAACGTTAGTCGGTCGCCGATGAAGGCACGGCTTTTTGCCATCAATACAGTATTATCAGGGATCATCACTCGTTACACGGATTAGCGCGAGACCGACCGCAGTGTGAAAAAAACCGCGGCCGCGCCGACGACCAAGCGACGAGATCGCAAATATCTGAACACAAAGGGGACGTCAACATGACATGATGGCGATGAGCGCCTAGCGATCAAATCATCCGTCAAAAATATCTGGTCCCATGGCACAAGGTGGCAGCGCAGTACTGGTGGCTCGGGAGTGGCAGCGCAGAGGTCGCGACCACCACCGACGAGGTGGGTGGGCGCGCGAAATGAAACCGCTCTTTCCCATCGAAGCAGAGCACATTCACAACAGCTCCATTCAATTCAACGGACAACACAATCACATCCCGGGGACGGCTGGCCGCGCTACCTAGACGGGAACAAATCGTGTGCCAATGCTCACAATGGTCACCGGCGCAATCGACGAACCACTAGACCACCCCGGGCCGAAATAGTCCCCTGGATCGAACAAAGGTTTTCCGGAAAGGATGAGGTACGGGAAAGGAGCCGAATTCAGCAGAACCTTGGCAGATAGGGAAGAACCGTAATAGTTGCATTAGTTCCGATTCTCGACAGGCTTCCACCTCGTAACTGTCACTCATCCCTCAACCCTTCAACAGACATCGATCTGAAACAATGAATGACGAATTCGCAGCTGCGATGTTTCTGATCGAAAGCACGACTTGTCAATCTCGGACGACTGAACACTACACAACTTCATTGGACAATAGAACTTCAAAATTCTCAGCTTCTGCACAACCATAAAATTCTGACAACCGGGCGAATCAGAAAATAAACGGGTACGGTATCACTTGAGCAAAGGTCCCGACACCACTTGATCCTTGAAACGATCCAGTCCCTAAAAGTACAGTCGTTCTGTTTGCACAACCTTTCTGATGTGTCATAAAAAGGGGTACGGGCGGCAAAAATGAGTCAAGTCAATGCGGAAACACTTCATTAGTCGACCGCCATCTATACCAATGGGTTAGGCGTCGGTACAAAAATGTGGTAGGTAAGTCATCGATCACTGGCAACTTGCCAACTTTTGACTTTTGACTAAAAAACTATTCAAGAAAACAACTATCACAACAAATATTTTAGAGCCGATTTTCCCCGCCTCACGAGGAAGGCGGCTGACCTCCGCCATTCCGAGATGGATACCGAGCGATGGAGGGTGGGTCGGGTCTGCAAGGACATGGAGCGTTCTTTTCAAAATGGTTTTCTGAATGTTGTAGAGGCTCATGTGAGGAACACAGAACCATGGTCCATTTTTCCTGAACGCCCCAGGAATGTCAAAACAGCGGGGAAGAAATGGTCCAAAGTTCGATCCTCCGTGATGACAAATTTTTGCAATTTATGTTGGCGCCTCCAAATTGCCGCAAAACACGACAATGACATCTATTCTCGACGATGGCGCCATTTGGCGGCAATCTGGGGGCGCCAAACTATATTGCAAAAATTAGTCATCACCGGGGATCGAACTCTGGACCATTTCTTCACCACTGTTTTGACATTCCTGGAGGCGTTCAGGAAAAATGGATCATGGTTCTGTGTTCCTCGCATGAGCCCCTACAACATGCAGAAAACCATTTCGAAAAAGCGCTCCATGTCCTGAAAGACCTCCTTGTAAGTTACTCTGGGGTTACCTATTTGCGAATCAAAAAAGAATTTGTCGAACCGATATTGGAAATAGCGACTGTTTGGAAAGTTTCGCGGCCCAAAAAAAGCTTTCCGACCCAAAGTGCTGACTACGATCCAAAAAAGAACAAACCTCGCCGCAATAACTAGCGAATGCCGCAATAAAAACGGGATCGTCGCCCTTCACAATAGCACCAGCCGCTTCCAGCCATTTTCTGAACATACCACTTTACAGAATAGGGATTTCCGGAAGCCAAAGGTAATAAGAACAGACCTGTTCACAATCGCCAAATCCCTTCATTACTGTACCAGAACACTCGCTGCCAACGGATTCCCGCAATTTTCAATGGGCTGGAATTTCCCCCCCTCGGCGCGCTCTACTGCCCAGATGCGTAGACAAGTTCGCTGAAATGATTGATGTTGCTTGAATCTTGTCAAAACACTTTCTGTGCTCTCTCTTTCGCTATTTCTTTTTCTGTATCGTATTGTGATTAGTTCTCATAATTTAGTAGATCATATCTGACTGGTTCTGGATAGCGAATTACAGGGTTGCGGGTAGGGCGCCTTTAAGCGTAAGGAAATAATAATCAAATAAATAAATAAATAAAGTTATTGTTAGCACCGCCCATCTACGCATGCCGCAACTCACTTGCTCTTTTCGAAGACGTCAAACACGAACTGCTCCAGTTTTATACCGTTCGGACTTGTGGGCTTCACAAGCGTTCCATCCGGGGTTATATGCGGTATTTTCTTCGAGGCACGGTGGTACGGTAGGTGGAAAGACCATTCACAGAATCTGCAATAGTTACGATGTTTTTCAGTAAGACTTGAAAAACACTTTGTCGTAACCAACTAAGCCGCTCTTCAAGGAAATCCAGTGAGAAAACGTGGTTGGCGATGGAGCCTGCACAGAAAAGCAGACGTCCGTCATCCGTTTTCTTCTCAGCTAGTTCGGCACCCAGTTCACTGTACTCGGTCACTCTCAGTGACGTCCTTGGTCCAGTACAAACGACCCCACCAATCGCCGGGATTATTTCGCGAATAGTCTTTAACAGTTAGAAAAATAGGCCGAGTGGGAGACATCGAAGAGCATCTCCGATTCCATTGAAACCTTTTTTTGGGCAAATTTTGCGGATCTCGTTGATCTCTCTCTTTCAGAGCGCATGCTCGTCCTCGATATTAATTTCGGTTAGAGAGGCGAAAAGCAATAAATTAATGGCTGTTGACAATCGCTCGCCATTCCACTGCACACAGCCCGCGGCTAAATCGGAAGAGCACTTGAAAAAGCTACAAGGGAGAATTGCGCAGCGCGCAACGCCAGGAAAGAGGGTAGAGAGGGTGGGAAGAGGACGCCAGAGCCACGATTCTTCCAAAAATTTTCGTGATTTTACAACTCGATTCAATGTGATGGGGCCTGCATCGACACGTCATCAAGTGCCACAAGTAATACAAGAAAACCGTCTCTTCACAAGGGCCATGTCGAGTTCAAGAGTTTGAAACACGAGCCGATTGTCGTAGGCAGATGTTACAGTACATCGTACATCGTGCGATGTATGCTTGCGCAATCTGAGGACATAAGAAGCGGTGAAACGACCCGACCGTGGTGGTTCCTCGTGGCAACGTATGTGTCCAACTATCAGTTCCCCGATAATCCCTCTAATAGTCATTCAAAACGCAAACCGCCCTTGTTGCGTGAGTCAAAGCCTTTTGCTGCATGGTGCTCTCAATCATAAGCACACATCTAGGAAAATGAACAAACGATAGATATGACGACCATACTACAAAAACAAACAAAACAAAGAAAATAAACAATACATGTATAACTAAACAAATGATTGAATAAACAAATGAATAATGGCAAATAAAAGAAAACCAAGAGAATATGAGCAAAAAACCCCTTCAAAAAATCAAACATCAGAGTTTAGCAATAATTTTTGGTGCAGAAATTCCTCATAGAAAACTCTCTACACGTTAGCGATCCTTACCCGTTTAGGTTAAGGGAAACTCTTTGGTCCAAAAATCGTATTATTCCTACATGGTGCACTAAGGTAGAACATACCTCAATAGAGAGTGTTATTCTTGGTTAAGTGGGAAATGTGGAAGGGAGGGGGAGGGGGTTGATTTGGTGCCATTGAAAGTGCATCCTCGGGAGTAAACCCCGAAAATTGAGTCGTGGAATTTTTGTTAAAAATAATTTGTCTTAGGTTGAGAATGGGGGATACCTGTACCATATTTTTCAGAAAAAAAGTTGCGAGCGGCAAGAATAGAAATACTCGTTAGTAGGCAGAAACCTACCGCTGCCCCCCCCCTTTCTCCTCATTAGGATTTCTTTTTTTTTCTTTTTTTTCCTTCCCTTTCCTTATTTTTTTCGATTGGTTTGTAGTGCTGCTGATGAACAAAAAAGGAAAGATTAAACGGAACCTTGCCAGTTATTTCATCTTACGTAATGGTTGTTCTCTTTCTACATTAATTACTAATTTTTCTCTCAAATTCAAATATCACGGTTTCAAAGATTGAAATGCCTTTCCCTTCCTGATAGCAATTCATTTTCGTACACGAGTTACTACCGGATATAAACCGTTAATAAATATTTAAGACTGAGGTGAGTTAAGTTTTCAGCATTATCACAGGAAGTTATCGCTGTTGACGGTTTGTGACCCCCGTCCAGAAGAACTCCTTGGAAGAACTGGGCGAATTCCAGGTGTCTTCACGGTGCTCCGTCTTCTTTTTCCATAGTTTTCTCCATGTGAGAATCTGTCACTTAGCGTCTTACAACTGCATGTCATTTACGTCAAAACATGTCTCACTACGATGACAAGCGCGAACAGATCGTCGTGATGAGCAGATGATTGCTGTGGTTGCCAGTGTCCTCGGCTATTCCCTTTCAGCTGACCCGCATACGGTCAATCAGCTGCGATAGCAGGCCCAAGCCAGCCAGCCGCTATTGTTGCGTATGCTGTCTGTGAGCTATCCGTCCACAACTCGGCGAAATAATCCGCTATGCTAGCAACAACACACACCGCGGGGAACTACGATGGAGAAACAAAGCCGTCGAAAAAAAGTAGCTGATGTGGGAGACGACTATTGCAACTGTGGGAACAAAGTAAACACAAAAAGCGGGATGTATGTTACGCGACAGTATGAGAAAGGGCTGCTCCAAACAATCAGTGATGCTGGGTATTATCAGGAACGTTGAAGGCATGAGTTTTCTGTTTGAGTCTTGCAGGATGTTCGAGGAGGCAAAGGAAGCATAATGTTAAAAACACCACTTCCAGACAATAGATTTCGGAAGAAAAAGCTTGGCTTCTCTCGAACGGAGTTCAAAAGCTACCCGACGAGCGTGAAACTTCAACAAGTACCTTCCTCGCTCTAAACTTAGTTTAACTGCTCCTTCGTTCGTGTTCGCTTGATCAACCGCACCGAGAGATCATGCAGCAGCCCAAGTAGTGGCGGGGAAAGTTGCCTTAGGAATACTCACTCCGTTGACAACACCGCTTTTCCTTCATCAACTTTCTGCCATTGGGACAAGAGGATCCAAAAGTTACCACGTGGGTCACGGGGACACGTTCAAGGGGAATTAATAATTTCAAAATTTCAGTTGTCAGAAATTCTACTTTGCTGAGCACTGCACCCCTTACAACAATATGAACATTACCAGCGCTTCACAGGACCTTGTTCACGCTCCGAATGGGGTTTCAAAAGGTTTTATGTTTAAAACTCAAAAGCTCGATTTTATCTCTCCCTTTCAGCTCGCTAGCCCACAATGTCGGCGCAAAAACCCAAATTATATGCTGCAAGCGTTATACTTTAAATTTATTATCACGTTCTAATGAAAAAAAAGAGGAGAACTTAGCAGAAAGTTCTCAGAAATAAACATAAATCTTATCTTTGATGGGTGAAGGTGGGGTAGGACAACTGGAACTACTTCCCATGTTCAAGGTCCGTGGGTCAAGTCTCGTGTTGAATCTCGCCCCCGCCAACCAAGCCTTCCATCCCTCCGGGGTCGGTTAATTGGTACCAGACTTGTCTGGGAGGATAAAAACACTGACTTGTACATCGGCTGGCCCCGCAAGTCATTGTATAGGCCACATCGCATTCAAATGCCACTACGAATGTACAAATGGAAGTAGAATGCGTGCCGCATCCCAAAAAGGGATTGATCAACGGCAAAAGCCTTGAACTGTTAATTTTTCGGTCAACTATTTTATGTAGTCAAAGAAATTTTGGCAAAACAATTTCGCGTACTTTACGTTCGACTTGGGAACTAATCTATAATTAGGAGATGTTTTGAAACTACTCACCTTATCGCATTGCACTCATTCTTTTCCTTTCGTTCACTGCAGGAGGTTCCCTAGGTGGAAATGCTCTCATGGCGCTATCGCAATATACGGGGGCATTGTGATGGCAATGCATTTGAAACCGCGTAAAACATGTTTTTTTTGTTGAAAACGGGACTAAGCCTTAGGCAGGGGAGGAGAGACTCCAAGGTGCGTGAGCCATTTTCATTTTCCCGGAGCTCCTGCCCCCTCTAGGCTTAGTCCTAGAGGATGTCCCCGTATATTGCGATAGCGCCTGCTCTTTCTCTGTAACTTAGGAGGATTTCCTGCGCGATTCCCACAAATAAAGAAGGAACAGAAGATAATGAAGGAAACAAAGGTGCGCCTTTTTCTAGTTGTCGAATTTGATCAAAGACGACCCTGACAGCCACGCTTCTGCGACTACCACAATAGCGACCTCGATGCTCAGAGAGGGTTGACTGGTTCGCAATGTAAAAATTCTACCAAATTAAATGCTCACCTTCGTAGAAACATCTGCATGCTTCTCAATGCAGTAACCGAGCCAATGTGGATCCGCCACTTTACACAGGATATTATCAATGCAGTACACATGGAAGTACTTGACGCCACGCATTTTCATCTCCGGTAAATGAACCGCCAAAGC